CCTCAAGTTGAACTATAAATGTCTGTCATGTTCAACTTGGATTTTAATTATCAAACATTGGTCGAGAAGGTTCTTTGGGAGAATATTTGCTTGCTGGTCACTAGATAACATAAATGGAACATAAATTTCCCCGGACTCGAGCTTGCCTTAATGAAGTGATGACTAATCTTAACATGCTTGGTGCGATCATGCTAGATCAGGTTATGAGCAATGCTAATGATAGTCTTGTTATCACAAAACAATTGTAGGGTGGCGGAGACTGTCATACGTAGTTCGTGGAGCATGATATCTAACCAGAGAGCTTCACAAATTGTCGGAGACATGGATAGAAATTCGGCTTCCGCACTGCTTCTAGCAACTACAAATTGCTTCTTGCTTGTCTAGGTGACTAGATTTCCCTGCATAAAGGAGCAGTATTTCGAGGTAGATTGTTGATCATGGATGCCAATATGCGTCTGTGTAAAATGCAATAGAGTGAAAGGTGTGGCGGGAAAAAACAAACTTGAGCCCGGTGTGTCTTTTAGATAGGGGAGAATTTGGTGGACAGCTTGGAGGTGGTACTCATAGAGATCATGCTTGAATTAACACAAACTATTCCAACTGTGTTGCATATGTCGGGGCGTGTATGTGCAAGGTAAATGAGTCTCCACACCAGATGCTGGTTGCGAGTCTTGTTTACAGAAACTGTATTGATAACTTCAAGAAAATTTTCATTGAGATCAATCAGGACAGCCACTGGTTTTGCATAGGAGAAGATTGTTCTTTGTCAAAAGATCAATTATATATTTCTGCTTAAACAGACAAATACCCTGAGATGACTGAACAATTTTCATGCCTAAGAAGTACTAGAGAGATCCCAAGTCTTTCATTTCGAAGGAAGTAACAAGAGTGTCTTTCAGAGACTCCAATGCTGGTAGATCATTACCTGTGTGAACATTATCATCAACATAAACAATAAGGATAACTATCTGGCGGCTGGAGGAATCCCGGAAGCAGAGAGTGTGGTCCGATTGAGCCTAAGTGAATCCATGGCATATCGCAACCTTTGTGAATTTCCTGAGCAATGCCCATAGTGATTACTTCAATCCATAAATGAATTTTTGTAGTATACGTACTTGGCCCTGGGAGGTTGTGGAGTCAAAGCCTGTATGAAGAGCCATGTATACATTCTCTGTAAGATCACTATTCAAGATGACATTCTTGACATCAAGCTACAATAAGGGACAGTCCATATTCACTGCAAGGGATAAAAGGACCCGAATGGTGTTTAATTTTGTAACTCAAGCAAATGTCTCATCATAGTCAACTCTGTAGGTCTATGAGTACCATTTGACAACCAACCGTGCCTTGTTGCATTTAAATGATCCTTCAAATTTAAACTTGATGCTAAAAATTCATCGGCATCCCACTGCTTTTTTCAAGATGTGTAATTATGAAGTGAATAAGAAACACGATGCTCAGCTAACTGACCGATTTCACATTTGAAATTCAAAGGATTTTTTTTAGTAAATACCAACAGATACAATTGTTTTAGATACTGGAAACTAGGACGACTCAAACGACAGTGTAACAACATAATAAGATACTCAGTGGGCTGAGATAAACTACAAATACTAGGTGGAGTATCCTTGTTCTCCGTGCTTTTCTCCTGGAAGAAGTAGAGCTCGCCTACCTGCTTAGGCAGTTCCAATCATCCTCCCTGAACGGTGATCTTGAAATACACATATACAGAAGAAAAATGAACAACACAATCAATATCATATGTCTACTTAATGACAAATAAAATGTTACACTTCAACAAAGTTACATGTAACACTGATTCCAAAGTTAGATCTGTTATTAAAACAACATTCCCTTTACCAACAATGAAACGTTAAGATCCGTCAACAATTATAAGAATATCTTTCCTTGAGCAAGGAATGTATGTCGAGAAGGCTTGAGAGCATTCTTTCAAGTGGCCCATGACACCTGAATTAATGATCCATGGACTAGAAGGGACAAAAGAAGTGAGTGCCATAGACTTCGTACCTTGAAGAAAGTGGGAGGGCGATGGGCCAGAAGAAAGCTGACGGGATCCAAACAATTTGATTAAGTGCTCCATTTGACATTTAAGAGAATTGGAGGATTCTAGATTGTTCTAGGTAGAAGTCGGTTGTACTGTATTGGATTCAAAAGCAATAACGAGACCCTTGATAACGGAAGATTTGGCCGAAGGTTTGGATGCAGAATTCTCGTGGAGCTTCCAACATTATCATGATTCTGGTTGGGCTTGTGACAACAATCATTCATATTTTATCTCAATATTTTTTAGAATTATGAATAATTTATTATGTTTAACATTTTAAGATAGTTCCGATTTCTCTAAATTTCCTAAAAAAATAGAATAGATCTCATGTGCAGAGGAAATAATGTGGTGCATTTAGACATTGTTATGAACATCTGTTTCTTCCCTCCTCCATCCCGGAAGGAAAGCATAATTGTGACATTTTAGTAATGCATAACATCAAGCATAGAATTATTATGACTTCATGACCCGAGCATGATCAGTGGCTCAATTTGAGAGCAAGGGCCATGATAGCTCCATTATAAGATCAAGATCAAGGGCCTAGGATGATTTGTCCAACATAAAAAGAATAAGTCCATATTTGGAAAGTTTGTAATTGTATGCATGATTCAAATTTAAAATTCAATTAATAAATTTTTATATTTGAATTTTGAAATTCAAAACTTTTCTTCTATTTTGGAGTCTTTTATTTAATATTTTGCTTTCTTTATTTGCCTGGTGGGGGTAGCTACTTTTTGCTTGTAGTGAAACTTAGAGTAACTCCTTCCTCCTTCTTTGCTTTGAATTTTTTCTCCGTTTTTAAGTTCTTTTTTTGGGACTTAATATCTTTCTTTAAATATTTACTTTGATTAATGGAATTTAGCTTTTGATAACAACAACAATAACAAGCCTTTGTTCCACTAAGTGGTGTCTGCTACATGAATCGTTTTTCTCCATTGTCATATTTTTATTCAATTCTAATAGTCATTTTGGGTTTTCCTCTATATTTTTTAACCTAAGTCAAATTTAAAACATCTACTCTCTAACAGGGTCATCAGATGGTCGTTGTTTAAGTTTATCTAAGGTGACTCTCTCTAATTTTTTCTCTCACTACAACCCTTTTAGGGATAAATTCCTTTCACATTTTGCCTCTAAGTGTAAAGCCACTTAGCCACCCGAGCATTCTCATCTCAACAAAACTTAATTTTATGCTTATTTTTTACAGGCCAACATTTTGCACCATGAAGCTTTGCAGGTCTCACCATCATCTTATAAAATTATTCCTTATATGTGGTCCTTTTCTATCACAAAATAGACCCCTCTGCATTTCTCCACTCAACTATCCAACTTTAATTTTCCTAATAACATCTCTTTCTATATCACCGTCATTTTGAACGATAGACTCGAGAAATCTAAAATATTCACTTCTTTTAATGACTTGATCACTAATTGTTACAACCCCTCCACTAAATCTACTAATATTAAAATTACATTCCATGTATTCAATTTTAGATCCACTCAAACGAAGGCCTTTAGATTCTTAAGTTGATCTCCATAAATCAAAATTTTTCTGAACCCTTTCTCTCTATTCTTGTCTACAAGAAGGATATCATTAACAAAAAATTATACAAGGACATCCCGTTGTAACTGTCCAGTAAGAACATCCATAACTAAAGCAAAAAGATGAATTTAGCTTTTGATGTTGAGAAAAAAAAAATAGATGGATAATGAATTTTAAGTTTTTTTTCTTGGTGGCAGAAAACCCTCTTGTTGTGTGCTGGTGGAAGATCTTTTTGGGCTCTTTTTGTTGGAAGGCATAGTTTTTTTCTTTTTCTTTTGCTAATCTCTTTATTCATCTCGTACAACAAAATAAAAATAATCACCCTTGGCCTTGTTTGACTCTCCCCTTTCCACTACTCGATTAACCCTTTGGATCCCAACTAAAAACTTCTGACCAAATATTCATACATTTTCAAACCTTTTTATTCCTTTCTTGCTCCGAAAGATATCATTAGACCTAACTCCCTAGCCTTATTGTAACTCCACAAAACACCCAAATTTTTTTTTGTTCCTTTTGAAAATTCTATATTACATCTCTTACTCTTCTTTTATAACTTCCGAAAGGATTCATATTTAAAATACCCCTCAATTTTGGAGCCCTAGAGTTAATAATTCTAAGGGGTAGTTTTAGGGGTGATTTGACCTAAGCCCTTGCCTGATCATCTTCCCTTGGCCAAACTCCCACATAAAATTCCCCTACTCACTTGGAGGTTTTCCACACATCCTTAGTGACACACTACAACAATTAAATGCCTTGATGCACAACTCCAAGGCTAGGCTTTTTTGTTAGAAGCCTTGGAGAAGAAAATGTGGTCCAAAAATAAACATGTACTCATGCTAGCAAAATTGTTAGTGTAATATCCCTTATGAAAAAGGTTCACTTCTCAATTTTATCCACTTATTTTGAAAACAAAAATCAGGGAACTGCATTTATGAACTCCAACTATGTATTGGATTATTTTTTACAATATATTAACGCATTTGTACCCGCTTTTACATCTTCCAGGCTGAGTGCGCTTCAAATAGTTCTATGAAGGTGCTATTTTTTGTTTTATTTCAAATAACTTCACCAATGTGAATATCCTCATCAGTACAACTATTTAAACTCCCAAAGTCATCGTTTGCACACTAACCATTTGGTAGTTATAATGTACCACTCTCTTTGATGATAGAAATCTATTAGATCGGATGGGATCATAAAAGTACCAAATTGCATGTTTTCTACATTTTGCATTTTGCATCATATTAAGCTTTCCTTTCCCTTTTTGTACTATTGATAGTTTTTGAATAGATAATGCTACAATTAACACAATCATTGTTTGTTGTTATCTTAGCTTATTTTCTTTTACTTCCTGCATGATATCTCTGTTATTTGAACAAAGTGAACTTATTTTAGATCCCCAACAAGGAGAACGGATATTAGACATGTGTGCTGCTCCTGGTGGGAAAACGACTGCAATTGCCATGCTTATGAGGGATAATGGAGAAGTTGTTGCTGTTGATAGATCACACAATAAGGTAATCCTGGTTTGTGTCTTGCTCAGAACGGGAAACACTTATATGATTAGATATACTGCCTGAATTATTAATTTTATATCTTATTGTACTGGATGTGGAAATAGAATATTAAACCATGTTTTTTTCTTGCTCTTTAAGTTCTCGGGTCATCATTCAATAAAGGCAATATTTTCTTTTTCTTATAAGTCCCTTCTTTATAGCTAACCAGGGTTTTAAACGAATCGAGTCAAGCTCGAGCTTGATTAACTAATCGAGTTCGTGCTTGAGATTAATTCTACGAATTTGAATCGGCGCACAAGCTAACTCACTTAGCATGAAAAAGAGAAAATGATATTAATTTAAGCTTGTTTTATAATAAAATGAGTAATTAGGAGATAAATTATAAGAAACTACTTGCTATAAAATTAAAAATTTAAACTTTTTTAATAATTTATGGATTAAATCTTAATTTTTAAAATAATTTTATGCTATTTTATAGTAATATATTGATTTTTAAACAGGTCAACTCATGAGCCAACAAGTCAAGTCAAGGCTAGCTTGACTTTGGTTTGCTTGCTCATCATGCTCAGCTTGCGAGCAGCTTAATGAGCCAAGCCCAAGCCAGTTCACTTGTCGGCTTAGGCTGGTGGGCTCCACATGACTCATGTGACTGATCAAATATGGGTGGAATCACAGATAGGTATAACAAGAAATATTGTCAAATTGTAAAAATCCAATTTATAAGAAATAATGTTTATCTACTTGTGAAATTAGAATTGAGCATTTCAAAAACAACTTCCTAAGCGACTTCCATCTCTAATAAAATTTATTCCACTTGAACGAAATTATCATTGTTTGCCGTATTTGTATTGTCAAATCTACTAAACCCTAAAGTTATTTTACTTTTTTTTTATTGGCCTAAAGTTTGTCATAAAAAAAAATAGACCCCATCTTTTCTAGAGCTTGTATTCTGATCCACTGCAATAGGTTCAAGCACATTAGATTTATCATAAAACGCAATGACAATATATATGATGATATAACTTCTAGAGTATAACTTTTTTGTTTAAAATAATGAAGTCCTTATCCTATGAAATATGAGAATATTATAGACTAAAAAAGTAAATTTTAGATTGTTGCAATGAGATCAACCATTTTGTATGTATTTGAGTGTTGGGCTACAAAGTTATTGATTCTCAAATTAGGTGTCTCAAAAACTCGAGATGTTAAAATAGATGTGTAAATAAAACATAGTAGCTAGATTTAGAAATAATTCGAGTGTCGATAGAAGTATAATTTATTAAAATAAAGTAGTATCAATAGGCTACGTTTTGACTCTTGCAAACTCAATGAAGATGGATGGAGAATGAAAACTCAAAAAGCCAAAACCCAATAGTTTGGATTAACAAATGATGATGACGATGGGTATTTTTACAAAGTTGCATTGAACAAATAAATTCTTGTTCCACTTGTCGGATGGGCTTTGGGGGTTGCAGGCCATGTGCTTCTTGACCAAAGATTTTAACTCGCTGTAGATTTCCTCTTGAAATAGAGGTTTTTAGAGTAAATTGGAAAGGTAGTTGTAAAACGTTTGCAATCATTGAGCATTTATGAAATAACATATGAATCTGTGCTTGTTTTATAATTTGAGCTCATTTGCTTGGGTTGCGAGAAAAGCTGAAACAAATGGGTTTTTAATGAGGTGTATGATGTGTTGGATATGTTTGATTATTCACGGGTGGTGTTATAAAATTAACTTGTTAAACACATGTATTTGCCAATCAAACAAAGTCCTCATTTAGTATTTTCCATGACTTTTGCTGTGTGAGTGAATCGGGTTTTGTTTTGTTGTTCATCTATTGAGGAAATCTGTTGCAACAGAAAATGACGGTGCCATGAAAATGTATATTAAACCAAATCATGAAATTTGATTTGATATTACTTGATGCAACAGGTTTGACACAATAGAAGACGCACAATTTAATGGAAATCCTTTTTCTAGTGACTTTCTTCATGATTGTTATGTTATTTACATCTATCATGCTCTAATCTTTTTTGAAATCTGTATGAATATTAAAAAGTTTTCAGGTGATGGATATAAAAAAATTGGCTGCAGAGATGGATCTTACTTGTATAAGGCCTTATAGACTTGATGCCCTAAAATCTGTCTGCCAAACTAGTATGGTAACTAATGCTGCATCAACAAACCTGGATCATGATTTATTAGACATGACAGTTGAGAATTCATCATCAAAATTAGACAATGGTTATATGGATGCTGCAAACATAGAAGGAGACAAAACTGATGCGAAAATCATGAACAATTGTAAGATTGCTTTATGAGCTTGTATCTTCTCTTATTAATCATATTGTGCAGTGAAGGTATTCATTTGGAATAAAATTAATGTGTATTGATTTTTTAGCTTTTGCTTCAAGTTCATTTCAAGTGTACAAATATGCTAGTAATGTTGACACCTATATAAACAAGATATGTTCTTTAGCATTTTGAAAAGTTTCTTCTAACACAATATAACATAGTTTCAACCCAGCTTATTGAATTCCAATCAACAATCATTGAGTTTATAAACACCGCCACAATGAGAAGTGCTAATCAGTATTCATTATTTTTTCATCACTGTGCTGTTGATGATGTGTTTATAGCTGTTGTTTTCCATATGCAAATGTTAATTTTTTTTTAAATTTCTGAATTCATCTGTAAATGGTTTCAATTGCTTTTAGTATTTTCTTTTAAACTGCAAATGTTATATTTTTCATATGCTAAATTAGTTAAAGAAAATGTAAATAAAATAAAGAAAACTTCATGTTATATGCATATGCAAATGTGGAGTCACTCCCTTATTGTGATTGATAAAAAACAATGTACCCACAAACATTAATAGAAACAAAAATGGAAATGGTTGCTATCTTTTTAGTTAGTTTTGAAAAATATTGCGAAATGTGTATTTTTTGTACACATTTTGATTTTGACTCTCATTGATGAGTGCTTTAAATAAAATAAATGAAAGTAACAATGAAGCTAATTTCTTTATTGTCTCATTTTTAGTGTTTTCTATCTTTTTATAAAAAAATTAAAAATATGAACGGTTATAATTTAAAGATATTTTATCCACCGAGTCGTTTAACTCGTATCTCTAATTGCTAATAATTTTCGGGAAAATCTCTTTTAGAATTGATAAATTCTAGAGACTAAGTGTACAAACGTCGAGGAGCCCCAGAGAGTTAGTAGAAACATTTCAATTTTTACTCTGCTATTTGTTGTAAATTTTTTAAATCTAGAAATTTTTAAAATTAAGTGTAATATAGTGAGTTTTTTATATTTTGGATGATTTTATTTAAGAAATAAAAATATATAGATAGTACATTCTATGTCTGACCGTTTGTTTCTATCTTGATATTCCAAGCTCTTAGGCCAGGCCGCGACAGAGTTGTTAGGTATTCTGTGAAATAATGGTGGTGTAATAGGGATCGCACGATTCACGCGATAGAGGAGTGCTAGGGCATTGATAGTTTTATTCGGTTTTGCTAGTTAAGTGTTGACCTCATTTTTTAGGTCATTTCTTTTTCCTTAGGGTCTTAGGATCTAGCTCTAGGAGTTCCTATTGACCATCTTAGAAAATTAAAATTGAGACCCACCCTTTTAGAAATTCTAACCAATTCCTGTTTTTCTTTGATGTCCAACATTTATGACACAATACCATCGTCATATGAACGAGCGGTTATGGACTATTTTGTGAAGACTCAAGGGAAAAACTCCTAATAGGACTCAAAGCCTTAAGAAAATATCGTCACGACTTTTTCATCACATACACACATCAAATGCACAAAATTCACAAAATTGCACGAAATCGGACTTCAATTAAGCTTAGAGGACGGGTAAAAATACGAACTTCTCCGGATGATCCTCGACGACGAAATAGACTGTGCCAACGCGTCCGCGACACCAATTTTGGTAGGAAAGGACACCCATATTGTCATATTTTTGACACGAGAAAATTGACACGCAAATCGATAAATTCGTCAAAACGAAAATCGACGGCGAGATAGATCGCTTCAATGCGTCCGGAGCGTCAAAATTACCTAAAAGGAACATTTATTTTGTTGTATTGTGACACACGGACAAAAAAGATACTAATCAAATTTATTTTTAAGAAATATCAAATATTTTATATATTTATCATTTATAATATCAGGATTTATAACCCTAAGTCGTATTTGATCCTTACCCACGCGCGGCATTCCGCATGCAAGACAAGAACACATTCACGACGAAGAGCAACTTCAAGGTGGATCAACAAAACATCAAAACACATCATATAAACACATTCACTTCACCTATTACATTATTTAATTTAAATAACAACTCATAAGATCACTCTTTAGGCTTTTTGCATAACTCTGTTGTGCAATTATAAGTCCTAACACTTTAGGATTCCGAGGTTACCGTGCGGCTTTAGGTTTCCGAGATTCCAAGGTTACACTTTAGATTCCGAGGTTACCATGTTCTACCACTTTAGGATTCAATACTCTGTTGTGCAATTATAAATCCTCCTATCTTTTTAGGCTATTTGCACAGTCTGATATTGTGTGAACATAAGTCCTAACTCCTAAATAATTTTCAGGATTGAAATATCAAATTAAATCATTTCAAAAGACATAAAGCCAAACAACAGGATAGTTGGGAGTTCACCGGGGTTTTTCCCAGATCTGTGATATCCCCTACTTTTCTTCCCTTTGGATTTCTTAAATAATTGTTCCTATTTTGAGGCATTCCCATTTGATTTTCCTATGTCCAATCGTGAAAACCTAGACTTTGAAATCTTGAAGGCAAAATCACCTGATCTTAATCGAGAGTTTTCTTAAACGACTTCCAGTCATTTAAGATGTAATTAACTATAGGGGTTTGCCTGTATAGGGAACCTGAAACCCAAATAAAATAAACCTATCTAATTTTTTATGTTAGGTAGGGGAACTTGTTGGCCTTTTTATAAAAATATTTTATAAACTAAAACGAATGTCATAAATTCTTTAATCTAGGTGATTGAATCTCTATTACAAGTGATATATTTATTATTCGGGGTAAGTGTATTACTTATAGTATTGTATTCAATCATCTAAATTATTTAAAATGTGAGACCCGTTTGGTCTCACCTATTTAAAATTAAAATGTTACTTTTTAAAATAAGAAAAGGGTTATATTCATATTTAAATTATTTTCAAAATCACAAAATCATAACTTTTTCAAATCACGAAGTTAAAAGAAAAAAAACGACCGACAAATTCTGACGACTTTGCTGGGGACTGGTTCCTCTCTCCATCTTTGATCATGTGGTTTTCTTTTCAAACATCGGTAGTGTGTATATGCGGTTTCAAACATCGGTAGTGTGTATATGTCTCTCATGGGCCAGACTACCATTCTTCTGTTGACCTACTGTGCTCATTTCTTCCTTGAGCCAGTACAGTCAACTCCTCTTGGAGTTCAGTACCGTCTGCTTTACCATCCTTAAGCGGAAAGGTCCAGGACCCTAAGGTTTAGTGGGGTGGACCCCTAATAGGTGTGGTGTGTTAAGGTCGAGGTCAAGGTCATGTGGAATAGATCATTTCCTATTTTGGGCTAGCTCCTATGCCTCATAATCACTTCACTTCTCTTCTAAAATTTGCTTATAAAATTTGCTTATCCTTTTTTTGTCCTTTTTACAAGTCACGTCAAATTTCTTTTCAACTTTCCTCGACAATGTTGAAGTCTCAAAACCCGATATTAAAACAAAACATGAGAAAAGAAAATTTTTGACAAAAACAACACAAATCAAAATCACAAAACTTCAAAGAAATACCTAGTTCACTAGATAATTGTGCTAATTTTAGCTTCTATGTTGAGCTTGTAAGGCCTTGAACGGTATCAACACTCAGAAATCTACAATTGACGGAGTAATGACGTCACCATGGAGTGGAGTTTGCTGTTAGCAAGAGTGAACTGCCAAACTTGGCGATCATTAAATTTGGAGAAGGATTCAATGATATTGAAGTCAAATTCGGGAATATTGCTGTTGCCATAATGAAACTTGAAATGGACAAGTTCGTCGAGCTTGTGGTGGAGTTTAATATCAAGTCTGCTAACGAAGTTCCCCCTCTGAAGAGGGTGTGGATTGAAAAGAATTCTGCTGTTGCCGTAAAGTCTGCCACTAGGGGCGGGACCGCTTCCAAGACTGTTTCTGCTTCTGCCACTGGATTCACCGTTACTACTCCAAGTGTTCCACTAAACAAAGGGAAGGAGATTCTTTACGAAGAAGTGTCTATTGATGCTTTTGCCCCGCCGTTTTCTGCATTCGAAATTGGGTCCAATTCAAAGTCCGTGCAACTGACCAAAAAAAAGAAGGGACTGACCAAAAAAAAAGAAGGGAGACACAACCAGAAAATTCTAAAGGCTGAGAAGGCGAAAGCCACAGAGCTAGCTACTACTGACACTACCCTCCGACTAGGTGAAATAGGATTACGTGAGACCTCACCTCTACGCATGAGGAATAAGTTCCACCAGTTGCCTGCCACTTACGGAGATGTTGGAGTCTATGAGGTGGTTACCACATCACCGCCACCATATCTCAATAATGATCCAAGGCCGGTGACGACATTCGAAGGAAAATTTAAGATGATAGCAGGAGTGAACAAAGTATATTCTTTCAAAAAAGAAGCTGTAGCCAAGATGTTCCAGGATTTGATTAAAAATCTCAAATTCAGATTACGAGAGCCAAAGAGGCCGGAGAAAGTCGATATGAAAGATCATCCTAACTACTATTCTTACCACAGACTGCTTGGACATACTATAGAAAACTATATCAGCTTCAAAGAATGGCTTGAAAAAAATTTCAAAAATGAAAAAAAAATAATTTTGAAAGAGGATTTTACAGAGCCATCAATATGATTTCAGCTAATCCAGTTGCTTCATCTGACTTTTACACAACTACATCAGTGCTCAGCAAAAGATGTGAAGTTCATAAAAAATCTCCAATTGACCTTAAAGTTGTCAAAGGAAGGGCAATCGAGGATTCATTGGAAAAGCTTCGAGCCGACATTACACGGTTATCTGAAGAATGAAGAAAATATATGGGTGATGAACTCAGAATATGAGATAGAAGAGTTTGCAGAAATTAATGTTATTGAGGCCAGAGCCACCTTATTCTTGTGCGATGCTCCTTTACCCACTGAGGAGAACGCCGTGGATGAGTTGCGAAGAGCCATTCAACAACGTGATGAACAGATCAACTAGATGTAGAAACAACTAGAAGAAACGACGACCGCTATAACCACTAC